TGGAAAAGATGAAAAAAAGAGTGATTTAGACTCTTCAAGCACAGATGTTTTTAATCCCACGCTGGTAAGAACAAATGAGAATGAATCTAGTACAGGCGAGTATAGATCAAAGTGACCTGCAATGAAAGATTATGCTAAAGAATTAGGCTATCCCAGTGTATTTCTGCTTGTGGTAATGCTAGATTCTGACTTTTGGTTCTAGAGGGGCACAGACGTACATTTGTGATTTCCTTTTTGGTTTCCACTTTTGCTGGGACATCTCACGAAAGAATGGCACTGTATCCAATTGTCTTCTAAATCATTCTAGACATTCTGGATACAGACTTCAGGGTCCTTAGTCCTTATGGATCTTTCTCTACTGGGAGAAGGAGGAGATGTAGGATGGACTATCTGAAACACTATTTGCAGAAGTATTGCACTTTCTGATAGACTGATAGCAAGCACTGCAGTTTGATGTGGTAACAAACTCTTGAGAATAAGCGGTTCTGAAAGCAAAAGCAGCGCTGTGTGGTTAAAGGGCTGGCCAGAAAGCCCAATAGTATAGATTCAATTATAGGCTCCTGCACAAATTTTCCATGTAGCCATGGGCAGGCTGACTGTTCTCATCTTGGTTTCCCCATCTTTTATGAAAGGTTCGTATTTTCTTCCTGTATGTGTTGTTGTGACGAAAGAAATAGCTAATATTTTGGAAGTATTCTTAAACTCCTCTGTGGAAAGAAAGGTAAATATCAAAAAGGAGACCAAGCCCTTGCTTTAGAAACATGACTTGCACTTTCAAGGAAGAGGACAGAACATCAGAAGTCAAAAAGGCATATTGAAATTTTCAAGATGCAGCGCTGATTCAGAACATGTTATGTCTGCAGCTGCTGGGGTGTGAAACTTCTTTCATGATGTGACAACCAGCATGAATTACTTTATTGCTCGTAACAAATACAGATGGACAGATATCAGGGTGACATGAAGGGCAGGGACATTTGCAAACTTACAGAGAACATTCCACCAAATGCTGCTTGGAAATAAACTGATCTTAATCAGCTCTTCTTCCTTTCTTTATCTTCAGAAAACCTTTAGAGCCAATATTCTGCCGTGAAAGGCTAAAATGCTTTTAGGAAATGCATGTTGTTTTATGAGACTCTGTCTCTATTTTAAGGAGGTTGTCTAAAATGCTAATATTTCTCTTTTCATCACAATTCACAAAGCTTGTGGCTATCAAATTTAACATTTCAGTCTCAGTCATGAGAATTGGATTACTTCACTTGCTGTCTCTTCTCCAATGTTATGAACCAAGAAATTTGTTGTTTCTAGCTTACATGCACATGATGCCTGTACTCCTTGTCTGATGATCGACACTGGTTTTGAGTCAGGATTGAGTTCCCTGCCTACTACATGCAGCAGCACCTGCAGCAGTGCTAGGCATGGAAAGTAGTCCCAAGGGGAAGATATTCACATATAGCTTTTAATCTGTTAATATTAAAAGAAAACAGGATGAAGATGATGTCTCTAAAACAAGAGTGGAAAGATGATGTTGCACTTTCAGCCACAAGTGATGGTGGTATGTAAGTCCATGTAGTAAATCATTGAAATTACTGGTCATAGAGGCAAGGCACTGAAAATCAGCTTCTGTCTTACAGGTCTTACAGAACAAGCAATATAATACCTTGCTTACTTGCACCCTGTAGCTACATTTCTAAACGTTTCTGTTACTAGATGGTGGAGAAGGGGGATTCATAGTACCACTGAAATCTGTGCACTTTGCTAGTGTAAAGACTTGGGAGGGGTATCCAGGAGGGATCAGCTGTAGAACAGCCAAGCAGTGCACGAGAGTGAGCTAAGATAAGGTACGATTGCTGTTGCAGCTCCCAGTTAGCTGCACAAGATTCAACAATGCATTTTTTGACTCCTTCAGTTGATTGGGATTGTTGTGCCATGATCTTGAGATGCTGTAGTAACTCAGGTTTTCAAAGAAAGAATGAGTGTAGAGAACCGTTAATTTCATAATGTAAAAATTAATAAAAGCAATTTCATAAAAATATTGAAAGAAATCCAAACCCACAATGTGCTCAAATGTCATAAAGTGGTGTTACATGACAAAGCATGATGGTTTTGCCTTTGTAGGATGTATTCAGGAAAAGTCTACCAGGGCAAAGCAAACTCAGACAAAACCCATCAATCTGTACTGATGAGCTATCTTTTATTTATGTGGCATCCTTTGCTTCTAAATTAGTAGAAAGAATTAATATATTGCCTCATGTACACAGTGCAAATCTTTGGTTTTTTGCTGTCCTTTCCATGTGGATCTCCGCACCAACAGAACAGTAATCATTAGAAGTACTACTAATAGGGGTTGATGTCCAGAAAATATAGGTTCCTGTTCCCTGGCCTTCTCCTCACTAAATACCCTGAGGGTATTGAACTGAACTTGAGAGAAGTAAGATTTCACAGAGAATTGCCATTTTGATTATTTTTTTGTGTGTGCTATTAAGTGTCTGTCAAAGGCTAGCTTTCTGTTTTTTTCAAGAGATAATGTAAGCCCAGAGTTACAATGCTGATGTATTTCACTGTGTTGTTAGAAAGGGAATTTCAGGTTCCATTGGAAAGAAAGGTCAAGTGTAACAAACCTCAGAATTTGGCCTAGAAATCTTGATCCTGCTACTTTCACCCTTCTGTTCAATGCCAAAACTCACACTGATTTTAGTGGGTTAAAACCTCTTCCTCTGGGGCCTATGAAAAGTAGCTCCATCAGCTAGTCACTGGGGTAGGTCTGAGGAGTTACTGACATCTTGTAGCTGAACAAATCTATTTAAATTCAGCTCGTTAAAAGCAGGCTGTTAGGATATGTTTCTATTAGGATGAGCAAGTGCTACTACCTGGAGTCAGCAGTCACAAGTTAAAATGCAAGGGTTTTGTAGAGCTGACACAAACAGCTGTGCAGTGATTCTGAGAGACGTGTTGTACTGTTACTGAAGATGACATAGGAAACAGTAAACAGTTTATGTTTCTATCTATCTTTCAAATTAAGCCCAGGCCTTCATGGACTGAAAAGTAAGGCGGCACTCTGCTGTCAATGATGCTTACTAACATTGACTGCTTGTTTTAGAAAGCACTCTCAGAAATTCCCAAGGAAGATGTTGCCTGTGGGAAGTACGAGTTTCCACAGGAAATGATTTACTTTTTCCTGCACTAGACCTCCTCGAACATATTCAAATGTTTTGTGGGGAGTTTTTGTTTCTTTTTTCTGGCGGGACAGTCACAAAACTTAAGATAAAAATGCAAATTTTAAGATGCGTATCTTGTTAAAAGGGCCCTGATCACTGGTGGGATGAAGTCCTGGCAATCTTTACGTTGTCAGAGGGACTCCTTGCAAAAAACAGTGACAATCTACTGTTATAGCTTGAACGGGTAGGAACCAGTTATAGTTTTGATGGATGGGTTGCATACTGCAACTCAATCTTGCATAAGAGCTTCTATAACAAACACAGCCCTGAGTAAACTGACTTCCACTAGGTCGAATCATTCTGTTCCAACACACCGATAGACCTTGTGGACGCTTAGCATTTTGGATGAGGAGCTTTATAAATCTCTGATGATGCTACTCTATCACTGTTCACAAATGTCACTAAGCTGCACTGCTGGTCTTCATGGTACTTCTGGTCCACTGTGGGAAAAAGGTAAAAAGTATCAGAACTGAGAAACAGTCAAAGGAGAAAAGCTTCTATGGAGACTGGGGGATGATTCACAGTTTTCAAATCTTCCGCCTTCCCGGCCATAAGCATTCTGCTTCTTGAAAAGAAGTGAAATCATTGCTATGCAAAAAAAATTTAAAAAAGTTTCAAGAAGGAAACGAATGTTTGCAGAGCTGGCTTGGCTGGAATTTTCCCTGCACATATACTCCTGACAGATCAGTCCTTAAACTTTCTATGTGTACATGAGAAGGGACAGGGAATAATCGAATGTTAGTGAAGATTGCCCCATCTGTTCCATTACTTGAGTTGTAAAGATGCTCTTTAGCTCTCATAGTCCTTGTGATTTCAGTTGCCAGGTGGTCTCCCTGCCCAGGTTTCGCATCCAACACAGCTGTGAAGATTTTTTTTTTCCCCATCACATGCATTTTTTTTAAGGAAGACAAATATGCAATACAGCCAGGTCTGAATTTAAGGGTTCCTTGCATTAGGTCTTGGGGATCTTTTTGCTTTATTTATGAAATAAATACAGGTCAACCCCATGGACCAATATCAGATGTAGTACTCTGTCTCCACTTGCAGAGCACAAAATACTTCAACCCCCTGCCCTTCTCCTCCTCTCAGTGCTCCCTGGAGCACTCAAGAACATCCTCATCAGAAATCATCTGACAAGATCACCATCTAGATACAAGAGAGGGCAATAAAGTGTCCTACTCCCCAGCTGTGTATCTGCAGTTATCTCCTGACACCAGAATATCTGTGTGCCTCACCATCCTAGAGGCACCAAGTTTCACACACACAGCAAGGCTCTGCATCCCGGCTTACACATGGGAAACCATGGCCGGAAAGTGCCCAGGGAATTGTTCAAGATCACACAATGGGTCAGAACTAATGTGAATCCCCCATCATGTTTGTGCTAGAGCAAAGCATAGAGACCGCTTTGCTTACATCCATTGGATGCAGTGGAGTAATGGATGGAAATGAGAAGGCAGGATTTAAACAGACATTGTGCTAGTACCCAGATACCAGCAGTATTAGGCACAGGATTGCACTGAGGCCATTTTACAACTTCTAATTCCTGAGCAAATTGTCACAAGTCATTTGGGTGTATTTGCACTGAGCTTCATTGTGTGGTGAAATGGTCACCTGTTTTCTTTCCACAGCCCAAGCTAGTATCTTAATGTATGGATTATCCTCCCTCTGAACTATCCTTACGCAAATCATCCCATGCCATTTTGGATTAAGACTGTTATGAACCTCTGATGATGGTTATTTATCACTATTCACATGCATGTTGTTTTTCTGTCTTCCCCACTGCAGATCTGCGCAGGATGACAGCTGGCTTCATGGGCATGGCTGTGGCCATCATCCTCTTTGGATGGATTATCGGGGTGCTGGGGTGCTGTTGGGATCGAGGCCTTATGCAGTATGTGGCAGGGCTTCTCTTCCTCATGGGAGGTAAGTATGTTGGTGTTTGGAGAAGAAATGTGTTTTCCTTGTTGTTTTAATGTTTCCTATTTCCACATGCCCCTCCTTTTCTAAGTCAATGAAAACATGTTTCAGGGTGTTTTAGGTTTGGTTTCAACCCAAACTCCTTTTGGTGTACATCAAGGATAACCCAACTGCTGTTACATGGTGCTTCTATCACAAAACAGTGCCCGTAAGTCATAGGACTGAAATTTAGTCCAATGCTCTGCTGCTGCAAATAATACTATCAACCTTAAACTTAATGGGCTTAATAAATTTAGTAATAAAAATCTGAAGATTATGCAGATGTTATTCCCGCCATTATCCTATTTCATATTGGGACACTTTGATAACTAGAAATGCTCAGAGTTTTAACCTACACATATTCCTTTTGAGCTGCTCTTGAGTCAAATGTAAGCTTTAGTTTATATGTCTCTCTTCTTTCCCTGGTGTACCTGTGAAAAGCAGTGGTATCCTCTGTTTTCCTTTTCCCACTCTACATATGGTTTTTCTTGTAGGTTTTGCTCTTTAAGACCAGTTATCAATCCAGCAGCCCTTTCTGCCACCTGTTCTTGTTTGTACTTACCCTTCTCAAATACGGATGAGAAGGACCATTCCCAAACAAGGTCTGATCAATGCCTTGTAAAAGTGACATGATGGTTCCCCTTCTCTGCTGGAAATCCCTTGCCTGAAGTAGTCTGTGGTTTTATCTGCCTTTTTCATGCTGTGTCACACCGGAGACCCACAGTCATCCTTCAGCTGGATAATACATACAGGCCTTTCTTCTTTGTAACTTCCTGCT